AGCTCGGTTTCGGCCCAGGTCAACAATGTAGTTAGCTTATTTGAAAGCGGGATGTTACTTTTTTGTTTGAGTAAATATAATCAAATTCGACGACTGTGATGCCAGGTTTGGCTGCCTATGAAATTCAGTCGGGTAACCAGATGTGAGGCTAGGTCATACATGTCGAATTGTCATTGCATGCGGATTCATGGCATCTGCACCTGCAATAACGTTTCATGCTATTCATCACATCAACATCAGTCTCGCAAGCGTCACGCGACCAACTGTAATGCATTTTTGGGGACTAAGGTAACGCTGGCCAAATAAATATAAAACGGGCTGGCACAGCTAGTCATAGTTTGCGCCCTGGGTGGTGCATATGACTTTATTGCTGATAAGTCGTTATCTTCGAGTGTGCTTTTGTCTACTGGCTTGAAAACAACACTGATCTTCTTAAGGGCAACTAAATTCATACTCCTGACTTATATACTGTACATACACTGCTCACTAAAAATTTTACCTGACTAAAATAGTAAGTAAAATAAAATAGTATCAACCAACGCAAAACGCGTTTATCCGATGAGCGAAGTACATGGATTATCCATCAAAACATTGTCTACCCATTTTATGTCGATCGCATGATATTATTACTGTTATATCACATATTCATGTAATCATTGTTATATCATATTACATGTCTACTCAATATCTGTTCTTTGGCAATGTGTATTAGGGTGTGTCATCGAGGGGGCGAATCTCTTGGAATCAGCTGAGACAGAGTTTTCCCTTTACACACGGGTTAATGATAAGCATTCAAGTCAGTCGCACCGCACCGATGTTGACATTCGTGAGGCGAAAGCAGCTTTTCTTTGATAGGCCATGAAAACCGCATTCGATACTAGTGCCACCTATTTTACGCACCGGGATCATCCTCCAACAAGCCTCAAAGCTGCCACTTTTCACACTACTGGTACTAGGCAGATTAAGAATGAAATAATATCGTGAATAGCACCAGCAAAACATCGCCAAACAGCTTTCAAGCTAACTTTTTAGTAAAGAAAATTAATTTTCGGTAAAACCCAAAGCTGTGCGGCTGTGAGAATTCCCCAGCGGACCGGGTTAGGCTCAAGTTTGCTGTTGCTAATGCATCATTGTGACCTTGATTTGCAATTTGTGCTTTTCGCGTGGGAGATATGGGCTTATTAGCTTAGCTTTGCCGGTACTGAAACATTTCTTTTGAACAATTACTTACATGAGCATGTCGAAGGCTACACGGTCGCGCACAAAGCATTTTGTGACAGGCCACCCGGCTCTACTGTCCTACCACCAGCTGCCGACTGCGAGAAAGCCTTGAGCTACATCAGGTAACTGAGCGAATCGAAGAGTGATCTCATTAATACCATCTTCAAGACCGCGATGTTAGAAAACAGAGTACTATGGACCAACGAGGCGATCCTTATTCATGATCTAAAATACGTGACAAAATTTATCGACAGGGATTGATATCATCCCGACAGCTATCAACAAGAAATCAAAGAAAGAGAGTGACACGGAAACGCCGCCACCGCAAAATTCAACAAGCTTCTTGATGTCGTGAAATGCCAGTGCAAGCCTCAGTGCAGCCTTCCATGCCCAGTTGCCTGCACAACGTATCAGGAGGAGGTTGCCATGGAGGACCAGTGCAGGCACCAGAAGCTTACCCTGGGGCCATATGATCGGGATACGGCTGTGACTAGGGAGGCCCGCGAGGTGCCGAGGATGGCCAGACAACTCCGGGGGCGTCGTGGCTCGGCCGCCAATGAGGCGGTGTCTGCTGCTGAGCCTGAGTCGCCTTCCCCGCCGATTGCTGACCCCGCGCCGCCTACTGAGCCAGCGATGGCTGCTAGTGTTGACCCCGAGCCTGCTCCGGGACCAAGCGGTCTCAGCGCTGGCGGGGCAGCTGAGAGCACGGATTCATGCATTCATTCACGGTTCCGTACATGGTGGAAGATGGTGACGACGCCGATTGTTCGTTTCGGTTGAGACCACTGCCGCTGTAGATTATAACGTTAACGATATGATTAACACCGCTCTGGCGGTTGACAGCTACGGTGGCTCGAAGCAGGTCGTTGTTGCTATCATCGCCTTTCAACAAGACAGCAGAGATGGACTGGCTACTTGAAACCAAATATCGTAGATCAACACCGAAACGATAGGCGACGTGTTCCGGCTGATTGAGCTGGCCACCGAGTCACCCGTACACTGGCTCATCTGCCAGCTGCGTGGCAACGAGCTAAACCTCCCCCATCTGCTGCTGAGCTTGGACGGCACGACCACGGGATCGAATTTTTTTCTAGACACATCGACAAGACCTGTGCTAGAGAGGTCTGGGAGAGGGGCGTTGTGGCACTCACGCCTAGGTCAGGGCGCGTGCCAAACTTGCCAGTCAACCTAATTCAGCAGCTGGGCATCAACCAGCAGCTGCTGTACTTTCTGGCCTCCGGCGTTCAAAACTGCTTTGTCCAAAACGTGGCGGCCCAGCGGGGAATCGGGCCATTGAACCATGTGAGGTAAACATGAAAACGCGCTATCCTCGAGTTTATAGCAATGAGTGTTTAAAGTCCATCAATCACCAATGGATATTTCATGTGCTCACTGTTGAGCATTTACTTATCATCATACATTGTGCCGTCGTATGTCGCATCATTTGCTGGTTGGTTCATGCTGACTAGTATATTTGTTGATGTGTATCCCGTCACATTTGAGGACTCTGGATAGCGGCATAGTTACATACACTAAAGAAGCGCAGTAAGTTTTGTATGATCTAATGCTCAGTTCGTAGCGAATTGTTCTAATATATTCGCTTTTGTTTTCCGATAGCGGACACACTTCGCTGGTCTGCTCCTAGTTCACATCTCTACCAAGACTTCCAGCAGCGCTCTCAAGAACCTCGTCCAGTGCGTGGTCGGCCACTATGTGTCGGTATGGTCCGCCATCCGGCAAAACAGCGGCGGCGACTTTGGGTCACGCAACTTGTTCCGGAGCATCGCGCTGCTCCGCGACCTGACGCAGCACACATAGGCCACGGTGCAGCCAGTCCTTCAGCGTAACGTGTACTGGCTCCGTCCGGAACAGCTGCTGCTGAACATGGTGTGGGACAAAACCGCATGGTCCGCGAACAGGCGGTTCCGATCGTCGCGCCGCTCGTTAGATGCAAACTGAGGGTCTTCTTCAGCCCAGGGTCTTCGTCATCTCAGCGATAAACTTCGATGCCGTGAGGTACACCGAACTGATTCCCTGGCACGGACCAGTCACACAGCCCCCACTGCGAAACCTCAGCGACTGCGTGCTGCGGAACAAAGTGCAGGCACCGCTGGCCACCTTGCCCTTTCTGGTTTTACGCTATGAGTGCGACGCAGCGCCGCACTGCCGGGGACGTCTGGGGCTGGAGCTGGAGCTTCGACAATATGTGAAGCTCAGCTGCGAAGGTATTTCTGCTACCGTGCGATCTCTGCCAACACGTGTTTTGGGTTTCCAGTCTGTGAGCAGTTGCTGTCTGGGCCGGTGCATCGACTACACAGGCTCGGCGACGAGCAAGATGTGCATGGGGTCATCCTACCGCCCCTCCCCCCCCCCTCCTTCTACGTCTGTGGTACAGGCTGCAGAACTTACCATATGTATTTGGTTGTACACCAGACAATATATTCTGAGTCATATCCTACACATAGTTTTGTTTGCATCACGTGAGTTGTCTTAGAGAAGTGAAAGTCTAAAGCAATGCTAACCAGCATTTCGTACGAGTTCATACTCAACAGCACATAAAGTTTTCGCCAAAAGACAATCTATTGGGCAATGTCTGTCAAATCAAAATGTCTGATCCGCATAATAGACTTTAGGCCGGGGCAGTCTCGTACGACGGCTTAAGGAGCGCTCGGTAGCATCATTTCTTTACACAAAGGTATTTGGTGTCGCTTGCCGCCCACGGCTTGGTGTTACCTGTGGCGGCGGACGCCGCCCAGCATTGGGTGACTGCAACGCCGGACGTCGGTTTACGTCGGTATTTTGATCGGATCGCGCCTCACGAATTTAAGTCTTTGGGAAGAACGTTTGCCATGCCGTGTACTTTTGGGCTCCAGCGCCATAACAATCATTTGTCTCACTTGGTTTTGTTTCTGATGACACACCTTAATGTAAATCATTGTGATCGCAACCGGGACGGGCGCTAACAGGGAGGGCTGCTGGTCTTGTCATCATCCTCACCAAGTGCCATCGCCGAGTCTTGAATTGTTTGGTTGCGTCCATGAAGGTGCATGAAAAGAATGACCTTAACACGCGCTTTATCTCCTCCAGTCCCGCTCCGGTCTGCCAGTCATCAGCCGGTGGTTTGGCCGCTGTCCCTAGCCCAGCGCCGGGACAGGAGCAAACCTCAGGTCGTCCCGCACGCGGCTCTGACTGGTTGGTGCGGCCGCTGTCCCTCGCCCAGCGCCGGGACAGGAGCAAACCTCAGGCCGCCCCGCACACGGCTCTGACTGGTAGGTGCAGCCGCTGTCCCTCACCCAGCGCCGGGATGGGAGCAAACTTCAAGCCATCCCGCACACGGCTCTGACTGGTAGGTGCGGCCGCTGTCCCTCGCCCAGCGCCGGGACAGGAGCAAACCTCAGGCCGCCCCGCACACGGCTCCGCTCCGACGGTCACCTGACCAGAGTGCACTCCTCTGGCTAGAAGACATCACGTGGTTGGTGGACCATGACCCAGTCTGAGCGATCTGAGGTATTCGGAGCCAGCTGCCCGCCATGGAGCCGCATGTGAGACTCAGATGAACTGCGCCGGTTGAACTACATGTTGATATGGTGAAATGGCCCCGGTGGCCATGAAACTCCGACTGTGTTTCACATGTTAGGTCTGACAATGTTACGGTCTCAACAAGCCAACATTCGCACCTAGCTTTGCTTTAGCTAGTTTTGCTTCTTCAATGAAAAGACATGACCTTCCAAAGTAGTGCACACGCTGAGTTGCGGTTGAATATGACGGGCCGAACTCACCAGAGTAGGACAACATTTATTTCATTTTTCTAAAAGCCGTAAGACGCTTCGATGCTATTTATACAGTGACGCACTTCATACTATAACGTAGAAAAATGATTAGAAGCATACGGAACGTGTTCTTAGTAATTGCATGGTGTTATTATAGCTAAACAACTTGCAGTGAAAAATCTTCGACACACACACGGCAATTTTGCGGAACATTTCGGCACATTTGTGTGATAGCTGAAACAAGATGCCATCGTCAGTCTGAAATTGCTTTGGCAAAAATACGGCATGCGTGTCGCGGAAACAGCGATATGTTTCCTAACTATGTCCGAGTACACCAAATAGTATCGCCTTCGAGGATATGAAATTATTATTACGGGAAGGAAGCGTATTTTGCTACATAGCTTAGATGTAACAGAGCATATTCTACAAAAGCACATACATGCAGCAAGCACCACACGTGACAGGTGAAGCAACTATTCTTCCTAATAACTAAACACGTGCACGCTCATTTAAACTAGCGTCGGATTGTACCGGTGAAATTAACTGCAAGGCTAATCTAGTTTGCTCGCGTTTGACGAGCCGCCAGAGGGCTGGCCTGTCAGCCCCGGGGCAGCACACAGGCCGAGTGGCTTGCCGTCTCGCTCTGGTGGCGGTGGCCGTTTGACGACTGTGGATGTCCCGGCTTGTCGGCAATCTTGATCTGTCGACAGCGGTCCGGATCTGCCGACAGCGGCAGCCCGTTCCGCTGGCGGCGGTCCGGATCTGTCGGCGGCGGTTCGGATCTGCCCGGATCTGCTGACAGCTGGTCGCCGGGCGCCGGTAGGTCCGGCTGATCCTACGGACCTACCGCCGGGCGCCGGTAGGTCCGGCTCCGCGGCGGAGACACCTTACGCCTCCTGTGGTGTATTGACTTCCCTTGTCGGCGCGCTCTTGTACTCCTAGAGACAAGGCGCGAGTCAGCCCACGCTGGCACACCTTGCGCGTAGCAAACACTCGAAAAAAACGCAACACGCTCCCACACACGGCGGTGATGAAAAACACCCGAGTACTCAGAAATGGCTCACCCTGTCAAAATCACCCATGGAGCACTTTCCCACACCAAAAGTGTCTTTTTTACTCACACGTGGCACAAAGGACACTATCTGTTGGACTATCGTTGCTCACGACCAAGGTGGCCCGCGTGTACCTTGTTGGTCTGCCGTCTCCTGGCCACGATGAAGAAGACGACCAGGCCGAGGATGATGACGGCGATCACGACGCCCACGATGATGGCGATTGTCTGGTTGTTCTCGCCGTCCCGGCGGCTTGGGTCCGTCTGTGGGACCGCCCTCGTCAACATCGCGTCGACAGAGCGGTGCCATCGGTGGCTCACGCGACGCGGCATAACGCCGGGGACTGGTGTCGGCGGTGAGCGTAACCACGTCCGGCTGCTCACTCAGGTGCGCGTGCATCACCACTTGCACGCATCAAACCAAAAGTACAACCCAATACCACGCTAGTTGAACGGCTGCATTGGCCGGCGCCATGCTCCTCCGTCTGACGAGCTGCGGCTACTCACAGCATTGTTGAACTGCACCAGCCACTCGGTGACGGGCTGCAGCTGCTCCACCATGGCCTGGCCGGACAGCTGGGCCTGGCCCGTCAGCTGCATCAGCTGGTCCCCGAACGGCTTCGAGTTTCCCTTCACTAGCACATTCCTGCCGCAGACACAGCACGCCGGCGCTCGTCACGAGGCAGGAGGCGCACGAGGCAGTTACGCCGCTCACTCAAGCACATGGCTTCAGCCGCCGACCAAAACATTACTATCGAAGACGTGTGTGGACACTGTATTGGACGTGCGCGCTGACTCTGTGACGACTGGTTCCGTTCGTGACGTTAGCTGTGAAATGTTTTCCTAAGGGATGTGGCAAGGTCTTGGCACGGTTTTGTAAATCTACTCAGCCGGCAGCATCTTCCGATTCGTTCCCGATCAAGACAGTCCGGAGCCAAGCAACTCGCTAACGGAACATACAAAATTCATACTCGGGACAAGCTCTGAGCATCCAAGTTCACTTTAACGTCCTCGGAGTAAGAATAGCCCAATCCGGTGCTGATGGAGAGCGAACGTTACCACTACGGTCCAGGACGATCCCTCGTGACGCCCCGCGCGTTGAGTCCCCACCGAGTGCACGTCTCTTGGTCTGATCACGAGCCAAGGTCGTGACCTAGGGTGCAGAGAGCGGGCTGCCTGTCTGGCCGCAGTGTCACCAGGAGCACCCACCTGATGTTGACCCCAGCTGCACGTTATCCAGGATGGCGCATTGAGACAGCGGCTCACTCATGTCACACCAGGAGCACCCACCTGATGTTGAACCCCAGCTGCAGGTTATCGAGGATGGCGCACTGGGACAGCGGCTCGCTCACGTCACACCAGGAGCACCCACCTGATGTTGACCCCCAGCTGCAGGTTATCGAGAATGGCGCATTGGGACAGCGGCTCGTTCACGTCACCATACATTCGGCAGTGGTACTTGTGCACGCTGAACATGGCCAGACCGCCGACCAGCCGCCTGCGGCACGGCGAGCCACACCGTCAGCACGATCGGCGCCACCAGACGCTGACCTGCCGCCGGGTCAGGCCGGCGACGGCGAGTCCGCCACCAGCTGCACAGCTCCGCCCGCGGAGACAGCCGTCAGCCAATAGGGAAATGAAAGAAGTGCGAATCGACCGAGCACCGCATACAATAAGTAGGTGAGAAGGTTGACCTAGCTTTGGGTTCGGGCTCTGCCGAGAACCCAATCTCCAACTCCGGGGCCAGCCAACGTCTACAGGGGCGGATCGGGACAAGTTGAGCCGGTGGCACAGTAAGGCGGTGGCCGCGGCAGTCCGCAGTGCGTCGCGACATTGGTGCTACGGCCAGATGTAAGGCCAGCCTCATCATTCACGTAAAAAGAAAATGACCAAGCTCGGTTCCTGTTAAAATCGGGTATGTAGAAATCATCAGCGCGATTAAGCTTCTAGAAAGCGGATTCTGTTAGTCATGAGCCAAGTGATAACTTTGTGAGGAATTACATGGATATTTCGCTGGCAATGTTTGTCTGAGTTAATAGGGATGCGAGTCCTCGTTTACCAAACGTTTTGTGTGCACACTGACCGTTCAACCTAAGTGGTTAGAGGCATGGGATAGTTTTGCTCAAGCTTGTGGTTAAAACGGGCAGTGGTATATCTGGAGCACAACATAAGACGTCATGACAGGTTCGTACGCAGCACGCGATTGGCCCGCTCGGAGAGGCTTGGTCGCTCTCCGCGGGGTGCGAACACAGCCAGCTGCCGCTCCTTGCTTACAGGTGCCGCGTCCTGTTCCGCTACACCACCGGCGCCATCAGGTCTGGTAGATTCCCACGAGCATTCCGTGTGACATTATCGAAACAGCCAAACGGATGGGAAGCAAGCTGGCGACATTCAAATGTCGCGCGACTGGGTCATGACAAGCACGACAGCTATCGGACTGTGGTCACTGAACTGCGACACGTTGAAGGTAAAAGACACACACATGACACATTCATTGAAGGGAATGTTCCAACTCTGAAGGTACCGAAACAAACATCAGATGTGATGAAACAAGCTCACTTATAACTATTGGTGTGCTTTTAAATAGAAAATAACGCTCAAGAGAACACCATTTGTCTATTCAGTAAATATATTCCTCAATATGTCACTGCTTGATTACGTCATCGTACCTTGCACAACATTGATTGAGAGCCAGTCGACGGCTGTTATATCTCAAAATCCTGCTCACGAACGCCAGGCATCAACGACTCGGCAGTCTTCTTTTTGTCTTGATCGCAACATGACCAATGGGATGTCAGGATTTAAATAACACTATTATGGCGTCATGGATGCCTGGGTGACCTGAAACCATTCTCCCCAAAATGGTCTACATATCTTCACGGGCGTTTAGCTTGGAAACTAGAGGGTTTTAGGTTTTAAGAAGAGCAGGGAAGTAAACTGTACCGAATGATTTTCAAGATGGATGTTCCAGTTCAAAACCACATACACATATGGAACACTGCCTTCAATGTAACCATTTCCAAGGTCCTTGACGCACGCTTTACTTACGATTGTCTGAAGTACATAATGTATGTGGTGAAGGAGCAAACCACCGCACCAGGTATGCTCAAAGGAAACGGAGATGGTGAATGTTGTGGGACCACCAGCCTACTGATCTCTCTTGTCGCGCACAATTTGCCGGTATATAGTGTCCAGAGCCGAGCAGCGCTCAGGTCGCTAAATCCACGCGAGAGGGGATCACGCGATCTTTCTTGTGAAATCGGCCGCCATGTCACGAACAAGCGATCACGGTATATCCGGCCAGACGCAGCGTGGCTCTCTCATGACGAGCTCGCCGGCCGGGCAGCCGTGGCGGTCCGTCTGCGCGGCTGGACGCCGACCGGCCGCCACTCACCTGATGTGGTAGCTGGGCAGCGTCAGGGTGCCGTCCGCGAAGGCGTCAAAGTGCGTCTCGTCCCTGGCCTCGGGCGGCGAGACGCCCTGGTACACCTTCCTGTCCAGCCCGGCATACGGTTACACCGACACTGAAAACACGCCGGGTTCCGGTGCCCACCCGCTCACACGCGCTCATCCCTCGCGCGCGCCCATTCACGGTTAGTTGACTTTACGCTCACAGCGTCCATCCCGCGGCCGTCCCTGGACAGCGGACATGTGCACCACTGTCTGGTGACGGTGTCAGGAACCAACAAGTGCGCGCTGACAGCCGCCGATGCTGGAGGTGTGGCGCGGACGGGTCGACAACTCACTTGTACTCCCACCATTTGCTGTTGTACTCCGACTCGGGGACCGATCCAGTCATGACATCCGCCTGCCAGCGCAGGGCCGCCATGGAGGCGGCGATCCGCGGCAGCAGCTGGCAACACAGAGCCGGGTCAGCAGGGCACCGGCTCCAGCTCACCAGGGACACCGGCTCCAGCCCACCAGCGACACCGGCTCCAGCTCAGCAGGGACACCAGGTTCAGCTCAGCGGGGGCACCGGATCCAGCTCAGCTTGGACAACGACTCCAGCTCAGCAGGGGCACCGGGTCTAGCTCAACAGCACATGGTCCGGGCAGGACAACCAGCTGGGCAAGGGCACCAGATGTGGTTTGAAAAGGGTAAGAAAGTCGGTGTCTGCGGGAAAATGTCAGCAGGTCAAGATGGCCACAGAGACTCGAAGAAGTCGGAGCAAAGAGGGGTCAGCAGGACAGAGTGGTAGGATCAGAAGGGCAGAGCCAGCAGAACGGGGTCATTAGGACATAGCAAGTCGGACAGGATGAGCAGGGCGGTGTGAGCATGCCGGAGTCAGCAGAGACAGGTCAAGGCGAACTAGGATATGAACGGAGTCGCACGACTACGGACGGTGGTAAAGAAGAAAGTGTGCGGCATGACGGAGTCAGTAGGGACCGGGGCGTCCATTGCTGCACAAGAGCAGCCAACGCGACCACGTGCGCATGGTAGACCACAAGCACACAATACGCTGCGTGTCTTGCAAAGAGCAAACCGAAAAAGACATGAAGACATGAAGCCATGACATGTTTGGGTATCCCTACAACAGGCCGTCCGACAGATAGTCAAGATGTTGACCGCTCGCTTGGCCGCGTCGTCCGGCACGGTTCGAGCTGTCACATCCGTCACAAGGGCTGACAGGTGCGACGGAGCCAGTCGCACGGCGAGTACTCTGACTGCGGGCCGCCCTGCCCTGCTGTGTCGCCCTGCCCACCTTGAGCATGTGGGCCATCTGGAGGTTGAGCTGCGTGCCGTTGTTGTCGCTCAGTGACTGGAAGCCGAGCATACTGCTGAGACCCCGCGGCGATACGGCGGCCAGCGCACGAGCGCCGCCGATGGCCAGGTCCAGCCCTGCCGCCGGCGAGGCAGGCGTGACAGACGTGACATGCGTGACAGGTGTGACAGGTGTTGCAGGTGTGACAGCAGATGTGAGAGATGTGAGATGCGACAGGCGTGGCCGGTGCGACAGGTGTGACAGCAGGTGTGACAGATGTGACAGATGTGGCAGGTGTGACGGGTGTGACAGCAGATTCGAGAAATGCGATGTGTGTGACAGGTGTGACAGCAGATGTGAGAGATGTGACAGATGTGACAGGAGTGGCAGATGTGACATGTATGACAGATGTGGCAGGTGCCACAGGTGTCACAGATATCACAGGCACTCAGCTGAAACCCGGAAACGCAGCGCTTATCTCTACAATCTCTTAATTTCAGGGCTGCTGCCCCTGGTCAACTGGTCCAGGCTTGAACGCCTTCGAGACCGAGTAATCGAACAAGAGGCCACAACCTCAGGTGCCTGACATGCGTGAGATAGGAGGCCGCGCTGAGCGTCGATGCGCTGAGTACGGCCGGCTCTCGCCTGATGGCCTACCGTAGCCGCGGAAGCCCTCTCTGTCCTTGTATGGGAAGCCGAAGTTGTCGGCGAACATTGACTGGGCGCGCTCGTTGAACTTGTGCACGGTGCCAGACAGCTCCACCAACTCGATGTAGTCGGACAGAGTGGTGTTGGTGGGGTAGATCGCTCTGCCGAGGAATAAAGACGGCTCAAATGACGACACGGACGGCAGTGTGTACGGGCGGCAGTCCAACTTCAAAGCAAGCGTGAGGGCTGAGCGACACGCTTCATAAATCTGCTCTTCACGTGGATACAGACTGATAGTCGAGAGCCAACCAAGAGTCAGTCTGTTACGTATCACCTTCTACTCCATCCGTTAAATCACGAAGCTACAAGAGACGGATTGGTTTGTTGGAACTGCAATGCCTCCCAGTGATCAACGTCAAAGGCGTGTTCCGGCAAACACTGCTAGATTAGCGCCGCCGCGAGACTTCCACGCCGGCAAAGCGGAGCTCAAAGCGACAGACTCACATGGCTATCTGCTTGCGGTAAGTCGAGTAGCAGCGATCCAAAACACGCGGCAGGAAGAGCACGCTGTCGCTGCCAGGTGCAGCCACGTTCAGCTTCGAGTACATGGCGTCATCAATCAGGGTGCCGTTCAGACCGAGTCGCGTGTACAGGACGCCGGCCTCCCTCCTCAGGTCACGCACCTCGACGTTCTGCAAGTAAGTTATGGCAAGTACAGCCACCACCACCCTGAGCCGTTATAAACGAGACATGATAAACAGATAAATCAACGGCAAGCACGCAAGTGCGAGTGCCAAAAATGACAGGAAGGCGAAAAAACAGTCCCAAAAGAAACCATCTCTGTGGGCTGGATTACGGGGCCTGGCGACCGCCGTGTGCGCACAGGTGCGTCTGCTGGCCAGTGACATAGTCAATGAGTGATGCTGGCCAGTGACATAGTCAATGAGTGATGCTGGCCAGTGACGTAGTCAGTGGGTGATGCTGGCCAGTGACAAAGTCAATGAGTGATGCTGGACAGTGACATAGTCAATGAGTGATGCTGGCCAGTGACATAGTTAATGGGTGATGCTGGCCAGTGACATAGTCAATTAGTGATGCTGGCCAGTGACATAGTCAATGTGTGATGCTGGACGGTGACGTAGTCAATGGATGATGCTAGCCAGTGACGTAGTCAATGGGGGATGCTGGCCAGTGACAGTCAATGGCTGATGCTGGCCAGTGACGTCTGCTGGCCAGTGACGTAGTCAATGGGAGGGGCCTCTGGAACCATGCCCTTCCGGGGCCAGAGAGAGGTGTCTAGGGCCAGGCTTCTAAAACATCAAAGAATGATCTTTGAGGCCTTGGTAAAAACAGGGCCGCGATAGGGTTAGAATGGGGTCCGTTGGCTGAAAAAGCCCCCTATGCACCGCTTTGGCCCCTCCGGAGCGAAATCCTAGCTGCGTCGCTGCTAGTTTCTGTCGGGGTCGCGCCAACTGACGTGGTCCATGCAGCGCCGGTGGAAGTCGAGCCGGCTGGCGTTGGCGACGGGCTGCAGCAGGTGCTCCAGCGGGCTCCAGTCGTCCGCCTCCAGGCTGCCCAGCAGGTGCGCCGGGATCGCGCCGCGCTCTGGTACCGCATCGGAACCATACCGCTCGCGCAGTCGGTACCGCGCGTACGTGTGCAACTGCCAGTACATGGGCGAGATCTCCTTCTCCCAGATGCGCTCCAGCTGGCTGAGCAGGTCACGCATGTTTCCGTGCGCATACGGGTACATGACCAGGTCCCAGGCGTTCGATTTGGCTGTGAGGACAACGGAGGTGCGGTCACCGGCCACAGACGACCAGACGGGTGACCTTCATGGTGCTAGTGTGCACACGTCATTGTGTCATTGTGCCATCTCCCTCCTCGCGTCATTGTGAAATAGAGGAGTGATTTCAAGCGCAGCACATTTTGGATATTTACGATTTATGAGTATGAAATTAAAACGGGACCATATTTTATTCACTTAATGAGCTTCATGTCCCAAAAGGAAACCGCGAAGCGCAGTGCGAGTCCATCCCTGAGGACATAATCTCTCCACATTCCAAGAACACCGCACGGGCACCGTAACACAGCGCAAACCACCTTCGCCTAGTTTAAACCGTGACACGGGCGTCCCTCGAACGTCGCAGATACACCATCTATCCTCTGATGGAATGGGGGTGCCAACTGCTAATACGGTCGGTAGCGGACCGGTCGTGCGTCGGGCCCGCCCGGTCGGAGCACTCACAATTGTGCAGCTTGGCGGCCGCGTCCAGCAGGCGGACGTAGGTGCCGTAGAGCCGGGGCGAGTTGCGCGACAGCTGGTTGCGCCACGTGACCCAATAGTGGAGGAGCTCGTTGCGGTTCGTGGAAGAGGCCAGCTTCACACGCACGTCTGACACGAGGCGGGGGGTGAGCGACACGGCCGAGTAGGCCAGCTTCACACGCACGTCTGACCCGAGGCGGGGGGTGAGCGACACGGCCGAGTCAGGGCGTCAGACGTCTGACACGAGGCGGGGGGTGAGCGACACGGCCGAGTCAGGGCGTCAGACGTCTGACACGAGGCGGGGGGGGGGGGGGTGAGCGACACGGCCGAGTCAGGGCGTCAGACGCTGCTCGCCTCGCCACAGCCGGCAACAGATATCGACCCGGCCGAACAGGACGCGTGGACATGCTCTCACCCGAGACGTTTAGCCTTCAGCAAGAGCGGAACTACACACGCCGAACTGGCCTGCCTGGCTTGTCGGATCTCAGACATGCGTCCGTCCCAGCCATAGGTGCACATGCGGCCTGACCAGCCGTGGGCCAGCCTCTGCACCGCTCACCTTTGTACAGATTCAGATTACAGCGGCTCTTCTCAAAGTAGTCGCAAATCTTGGCTCCGGCGAAGGTTGTCTCCAAGTTGGTCATGGCTGTCACCAGCTGAGGAGCAGCATGATGGCGTGATGTTGGGAACAATGATCGAAGCCAAACATGGGCAGCGTTTTACTGGTCCTCCTTCCGGTCACAGCGCAGCATCAGAGGCAGTCGCCGAGCATAAGTCAGCTATACAGAGCTCAACCGCAGCATGCCTGTGGTAGCAGGGACCTTTAAGCAACGCATTCGTGCAGGCCGTTGAGGTTATCAGAGGCTGGACTTGATATGATATGTCACATGAGACACTTCGCTGAACGCGAACAAGACTATGTCATGTGTGTGAGTGGCAAGTTGTTCATGCTGCCGTTCATGATGAAGTTTGTGTTGCGTCATATACATCGAGTGTGGTCACATAGCAAGACACATTTTAAACTTCAACTGATGAGGGCGGTTCGATTGTTCTGTGCTTAGTATTTCATTCGTACTGAAAGCCTCCATTCCCAACCCAGCCCCACTCGCATTGAAAACGGAAATAAATCCAGTCGAAGAACTGGCGAAATATCAGCGTGTTCACCGGTTCATCTCAGCCAACTGATCGCCCTCGGTCTCTCAGCCAGCTGATCGTGCCTGGCTCGCTCCGGCAACTGCTGACCCCCCCCCCCCCCCTCCCCTGACTCCCTTCAGTCAGCTGCTGACCACCCTTAACTCACCTCAGTCAGCTGCTGACTACTCCCGACTTACTTCGTCAGCTACTGAACACCCTCAATTAACCCCAGTCAGCTGCCGACCACCCTCGACTTACTTCACGCAGATCTTGGTCGCTCAGCATCGAAACTCCACCATGCTTGAGCACCATGAACAGCTCCACCAGGTCAGTTCGGTCGAGTGAAGACAAGTCCAGGTTGGTGGCGTTTGTGGCGAATTCACGCCACAGCCTGAGGTATTCGACCTCGGCATCCACCTGGACGAGACGGACACGACAGACGCCGGTAATGGGGTCCAGTCGCCGCGACACCACCGGTCACCAGGCGACACGCGCAGCGCGATGGCTGCTGTCGCCACCACGCCGCAAAATCAGGCACTTTATCTGGTGAAAGATGTTGACATGTTGCGTCGTGTCAAGATATTGCATCATTTTCACATATTACGCAATGTCAATATGTTATACGTGATGTCCTTGAGCCCGTCTGCTAGCCCACGCCCTGCGAGGGTGGGAGGATGGAGTTCAGAGGCCCCTATGTTTTCCAATATAGATTTTGAACGGTAAATTCGGATCGGTAGCACGGAGCTTAAGTTATGGGCACCCGAGTTTACATTACGGCAACACATCATAAAATAAATCTAAAGCTCCTAACAGTAGCGATTCGTGCGCCCGGGGGAGCTGGAAGAATCCCCTTCACTCGGGTGGGGGTCAGTTTGACCCCTGAGATCACAAAAATCAAGAGAGCTAGAAGCATCAAATTCACACGGTGTATTGGTCTGTATGTGAGCGCACTGGTGTCAAAATTTAACAATCCTAGATCATGACGTTTGGGTCGAAAGGGTCCAAACAAGGTCAAACTTCAGATTTATGTCCAAAGTGTCCCCAGAACCTACGAGCCTCCTCTAAGCAAAAGGCCTCCGGTACTCATTGAAGGTCAGTGACCTTTTTCTACCTTTCGCAGGTCATGTTGACCAAAATTATACAAGACTGCTCTGAGCGGCATTTAAACAAACGTCGATTACTATTACACTGGGTGGCATGTTGCTAAAAACGAAATGTTGACCTGGGTCATTTTAGGTCAGTGACCTGTTCTGACATTCAAAAGGCCTATTAGAGATATATACTGCGATTCCTGTTATAAAGATATTCGAAATGAACACTAGACACCATCTCATACAGCAAGCTCTAGAGCAACAAAGCAGGTTAGCTTTGGCCTCGGTCTGACCTTTATACCTGACGCTAGGCCAATTAAATTTGTTCCTTCAATTGCCATGGTGTCTAAGAAACTGTCACAAAGCTGTATAACTTCGTCTAAAACTCCGTTATTGAATCATATTAAACGATTCCCTAGACATTGTGGCCACTGAATCCATGACCCGCCCTTGACCTATGATAGGTCAGCAACCCCGCAAGGTACATCTAAATTTTTGATACCAAACGACCTGTTATTCAATTTTCTACAGCTCATAAAAATTTGGTGCGGTTACAGCGCGCCACTCGGAAACCATTCGAAAACCGCAAAAAAAGAATTGTGGGGACAAATTGACCCTCCTTTGAGCGCGCGTTGACATCGTTTTGGTGGTTTTGTAGAATCAGGTCATCCTAGGTCAGACGGGACAAGCTCAAACTTAGGAAGTACATTTCGCCGTTTAAAGGTTATACGAATTAAGACATAATGGCGCATATCTAGCAGTACAATAAGGTCGTTCTTGCCCCGTTTTCTCCATTGATGTGGCATATTCAGTCATTGATATAGACAGACGTGTCAATCCAAAACTCACCTTCACCCCTTTGACCTGACGTGACTCGTCACAACCCACATGTGTCGGTGTTCACTAGTGTGTATCTGAGAGTTTTCGAAGTGTTGTCCAGCGCAGTCTTCCGCATTGTTGCAGCATGCAACAATGCGGAAACACTCTTGAAATAACAGAAAGGATCACAAAGTGACTGTTTGACCACTTTGGCCTGTCTTGACCTGCCAAAGGTCATATCTACCTTTTTCGAATGTGCATATGTAATGCAAGTTGATAAATGTTTTCCAGCACTGTTTTTTTTGCGTGGCTCTATCTTGATTAGTTTTTGACATGTAAAGGAACAATGCCACCTTTTTGTACTTTTTACTTATTGTTATATCAGACACGTTCGGTTTGATGTGTAGTGCTAGTTTTCTCGAAATCTTGAAATACTTGAAAGAAACACCAGACACTTGCAAATGAAGTGAGATCAAGGCTGAAATTACGGCTCAAGATCTTTCCTAGCCTGGAGGGAGTTGGCGTCATTCCAACGACGGCTACCAGCGATTTCGATTCCTTGCGTTAGTCAGAATGAGACAATCTTGCCGAGGGAGCAATGACTGGCACGCCCAGGCTACTGCAGAGGCTTGGCCTGGGCAGAGTTATGTCGTGCTCCAGGCGAGACGCGGGCAGCTAGAACAGGCCTCCGCCAGCAGGGTAATCCGCTCTTGCTCGGCCAACGTTCAGACGGCGATGACTTTGACCTGATTGTAGCCCACTTCCCCGCCAGACGTGTTTATCGGCATCAGTCTCGCATGTCAGTCTCGCTGCGCCGGTATGGCGTGATGTCAATTTCGCTGCGCAGGTATGGCATGATATCAATCTCGCTGCACCGGTATAGCTAAATGTCAGTCTCGCTGCGACGCTATACCTAGATGTCAGTCTCGCTACACCGTTACAGCTAGATGTCATTCTCGCTGCGCCGGTATGGCATGATATCAGTCTCGTTGCTCCAGTGTAATTGGATGTCAGTCTCGCTGCGCCGGTATGACATGGTGTCAGTCTCGCTGCGCCGGCATAGCTGGATGTCAGTCTCGCTGCGCCGGTATGGCTAGATGCCAGTCTCACTGCGCCAGTATGACATGATGTCGGCCTCGATGCGCTGGTATAGCTTGATGTCAGTCTCGCTGCGCCAGTATAGCTGGATGTTGGTCTCGCTGCGCCGGTATAGCTAGATGTCAGTCTCGCTGCGCCGGCATGGCATGATGCTAGTCTAGCTCCGTCAGTATGGCATGATCTTCATGCGGCTGGAGTGGCTTTGGCAAGCAGGAACAAGCACTGTTCCAAAGGAATGTTTCACACTTGAAGATAATGAAGCAAGCATCAGATCTGATGAAATAGGCTCACTTATAACTGCTAGTATGCTTTCAAGTGGAAAATCCTGCACTAAGCAATACACTTTCTCCGCTTAGTGAATATACTTTTTATTACGTCATTGTTTTATGAAGTCATCGTATTTTGCACAACGTTGATGTTGTGTCAATTAACGGTCGTTGTATCTGGAAACCCTGCTCAAAATGTCCGATATGAACGAATTGACAATGTTATTTTTCTAGGTCTTGATCGCCGCATGACCAATGGAATGGCGAGATTTGAATGACATGATGGCATCATGAATTCCTGGATGACCTTGGAACAGCTTCCTCGAAAAGTCTGCACATCTTTGTGGGAGTGTAGCTCAGAATCCAGAAGAGTTGAGGTGCAAAGAAAGGCAGGGCTGTGAAATGCACCGAATTATCCTCAAAATGACTATGTCAGTTTAAGCCCCCCTACAAACTTGGAACACTTCCTTGAAGGAAGGTGCAGTGGGCGGTGCAACAGCTCCCGCGTTGGGCTTGTTCAAATTATATGGGGGGGAAGGGGAGGGACAAAGCACATAGGGATTTAGGCAATATGGTCACTGTGACACTTGTTCAAATCATGTGGAGTGGGGTACGCCTTAGGATTTGGGCGAGATGGCCACTTCAGTCGTGGGTGCCACGTAAGGAGATGCACGACCACGCGCGTCGCGCTACCTTTGAAAAAAAAACTTCCATGATGATACAGCCTGATAGCTACCGACCCCTTTCCAGCAGGTCTTTCAAAAAACATATCGAACTTTTCGGCACATCGTCATGAAACTGAGACCTGATAAGAGTGTACACGAAAAACAACCAAAATTAGCGCTTTTCACCACGCCAGTTCGCTTCCATAGGACCTCACTTCCCAAGGGATAAAAAAGGAAACTAGAGCTCCGCATGGCCTACTTCGTATTTCCTACGCCACATCCTGCTGTCAGGCAGTTCTGAGGGTGCTAAGTTGTATGTCATGAGCATGACTGGCAGTGCCGTGCCATAGGCACGGCATCATAAGCGTGTCTTGTTAAAAGTCACCTGAGTTAAGTCTTGAAACATGCTCAAAGTAATAGAAATGCAACTTCTACGGTGCACCAACAGCACTGACGTACATTCCTGTGGTAAGTTCAAGATCATGCAATTCATGGGACGATCCCAGACGACTCATTGCTTCCCGTTGCAAACAAATGTTGTAGGAAGTGTTGCATGCTTTTACTTGGACCAATCCTGTTCTGTGGGAAGACGAAGGGCTGCGTCGGGACGGTACAAACATGACTCGACGTTGTGTGCTCCGTTCTGGCAGGTGGAAAAACATGACCGTGTCGTAAGCAGACGTTCTGCACACGCATCGGAGCATCCTTGACGACAAATGGGACTGCCGGCCTCTTTTTAAATTTGTGTCGTAGTGTTTTGGATGTGGAATCGACGAAGGTTCACGACTCGAGGTGACTCCATCGATCCCAGCCCTCGTGCTGGTGGGTGGCGAAACCAAAGCAACCGAGGGCTTAAACTCCGAGCCATGATCGCGGGGTGAGTATGGGGCACCTGCCCACTCGATGTCCGCAGTACTCGACCTACCTTGGTGGGTCCCAGCGTCCGGTCGGCTGTGTAGAAGTTGTACAGATTCTGGAAGCGTCCGGTGCACACCTGCGACTCCTGTCTGGAGTAGAAGCCGAGGATCCTCAGCGCGCTGACGTCATCGATGACATCACCCGGACGGGGCACAGGAATGACGCCACCTGCGGGGCCGAGGCACGGTCAGACCAGGCCGGTGAGACTGCCGGGCCAGGGCCGGGTGGACAGCACCACGCCGGACCCGTAGCGCCACGTCCTCTTTACCTCCGCCCTGATGGGGGGAGGGGCGATGAAACCCCGTAAGGTCTATTGAGGGTACCTCTCCGGTAAAAAACAATCTAATGATATCTTCTGCTAAGCTCCTTCTTGGTTAGTGTGGAAACGACAAAGGATCGCACCCTTTCCATTATCAGTCCGCGTGAAGAAAAGCGGCGAATCGGGGCGAGGGCAAATGCATCTGGGGGGCTCATGACAAACTGTGTCGGGAAACAATGCTTAGATGTCCCGCCACAACTCGCCCGCCCACCACCAGATAACGGGGCTGTCGGGCGTGTCCCGCCACAACTCCCCCGCCCACCACCAGATGACGGGGCTGTCGGGCGTGTCCCGCCGCAGCCCCCCCCCCCCCCCCCACCAGATGACAGGGCTGCCGGGCGTGTCCCGCCGCAGCCCACACCCCACCAAATGACAAGGCTGCAGGACGTGTCCCGCCGCAAGCTCCCACCAGTACGGAGGAGAGCTACGTGAGTCCAACCTACCGTCGGAACTGCCGCCGCCGCCGCCGCCGGTGCCGTCCTCCCGAAGGCGGCCATCTCCGGCCGTCGCTTGGCCAGCCCGCAGCCGGGGTTCGGCCGGTGCCTCCTCCGGCTCCAGATAGGTGGCCGGCTCGCCCCGGCTCGGCTCCACTTCAGGTTGCTCCGGCTCTGGCTCCGACTCCGGCTCCAGCTCCGGCTCCTCCGGCTCCTCCTCGTAGTACTCGTATTCGTCGTCGCCGGCCTCCTGGGGCACTGGCGGCGGCGGGGCCGGCGTGCTGTGGCGGTGCATGGCCTCAGCCACGCGCCGCTTGGCCTCGGGCGTCAGGCTGTGCTTGACATCCATCATGTACTCGATCGGTACCTGGCCGTCGCGCGCCATCTCCGCCACACGCTCGGCTGGCACCTGGCCGGAGTTGATTTGGTCCGCTATGGTGTCGATCGGAGGCAGGTCCTCCACGTCAAAGGCGGCGGCCGCCGCCAGCAGCGTCACCACGGCCACTGTCAGACGCATCTCGGCCCGCTCGCCAACTGCCGGCTGCCGGACGCGGACGAACTGCTCCCACCGAGTCGCAGCCGACCGGGTTCAGAGTGAGCGAGCCTGCGATCGCGCCAGTCGTCGGATACGGTGCTATCTTATCGTCGCCCGCGCACCCACACCGGCGCCCCCTGCCTCGCCCGGCGGGCAAGCGGCGCAGCGGTCAGGAGCCGGACCGGACTCCAGGGCGCGTCACCACCGGCGGGGCGGGAACGCACGCTCGACAGCTCATCGTGTGCTCAACACTGACTGGCGTGCCTCTGTCAACAGTCATCAGGCGCGTCAGATGTAAAATACGTCAACCGGAAGACAGGGAGGACAGATTGCGGCCACTTTTTAGTTCCTGTGCGCTCAATCATCAGCGTGGTTTTTCGTAATTGCGCTGGCGACTCGAGTGCCGTTTTGTAAAAAAGCGGACCATCTTTAGTCACGATGGCATCGTCAGGAAATAAAGCAGCCACGGACACACAGATTAAGTTCAAACGTTTTCACGGACGGGGCTGCAAGCATGGTGAGTCAAAACTCTCAGAAAACGGTCAATCCCAAGCGATTTTTTAACTAGTGACCACAGGTTCATGTGATCTTTGGCCTTTCTAGCACTGCACTTGGACATCTCGAGTCGCATGTCGCGTTTTGTGGACCTCTTCTTGCTGGATTCCCACAAAACGTGGGCTTTGCAACGCACTGACTAAACCCGGTGTCGTTTGCTGTAAGTGCCTGGCTCCAAAAGCTAGTTAAGTTTATGGGATCATCTTCATAACAGCTGAGCTCAAAACTGTCACCGCCTTGCTCGTCCCAATCCGCACCACGCGTCTTGCTGCTAGTACGAGCCGCTGCACACTTCAAGAGCAACAAGAGCTTGTCACAGAGCTTCTGTATTTCACAAGTTACTCCATTCTCGCTTTTAAGCGAGAGGACGATGTCAGATGCGGGCGGCCACTACACCAACGGACTTTCTGACGCCTTTTACAAAGTTCAAATGTTGGCACCTCATAACCTTACCCCAAACGTCGTTTAGAGCTCAACATCCGGTCCCGCAGAGACGCCTGACCCGTCCAGCAGGCACGCCTAGTACATTTGAGGCGCAGCTGACCACCACAACACCCTCAGGCACTTCGGCCAGCCGCATGCCCCAGGCTCCAATGGGCGTGCACACCACATAGTAATATCCACATGTTGGTTGCACTCCACATCCAATGGGGCACGTTCGGGCTTATTAGGGACCCAACGCTCAATCTGGGCGGCTAAAGTCGTCCGCATCGCCGTCACACGACTCCTGTACGCGTCACTTCCAGCCAACAGTGTCCAGACACAGCGGCGGCACCTGCGGCACCGGCGGCGAGGACCTCGGCATACATACGGCATACCTCGGCTGAACACACCGCAGCGGTCACGAACTCCGCTCACACAACAATGCAAGCCATAGGCACACAGTACGACACGAACAGGAGAATCTCCCAAACACGCGCACTGCGGCACGCCGCAAGAATCATCTCGCAGTGCATGCACCGACTCATGTTAACACGCGCCCGGGTGGCCGGCTAGATACCCTTCGCTCGGATGGGGGGGGGGGTAAATTTGACCCCTGAAATCTCAGGAACTAAGATAGCTAAACACCAAATTTGCAGGGTGTCTTGACCTGTACGTGAACTCACTTAGGTCAAAGTTTGAGCTTCCTAGGTCATAACCTTCAGGTCAAATAATGTCAAACAAGGTCGAATTCTAGGTTGGTCTCCTAAGTGCCCCACAACCTAGGCAACTCTTTCTAAGCAAAAGGTCACAAGCCTGTTTTAGGGCAGTGACCTTGTTTGACCTTTTGAAGGTCATGGTGACCAAAATCATACAAGACTGCTCTGAGTTTTACATTTGAATAAGCGACAAAGATTACGCTAGGCAGTATGTTTCTAAAACAAAATGTCGACTCGGGTCATCCTAGGTCAATGACCTGTTCTGACCTCTAAAAAGTCAATGGAAGGTATATCATGCGATTCCTGCTGCAAATAAATTCGAAATGAGCACCAGAAAATATCACATACAGTAAGCCCTAGAGTAATAAATCCGTTGGTTTTGCCCTTGGTCTGACCTTTATATCTGACCTTCGGTCAACGTTATTTGCTCATTCAATATTTTTAGCGCCTAAGAAAGCATCTCAGAGATGTATGGCTTCGCCAAACACTCGTTGTACCAGATTGAACGATTCCCTAGGAACTGTCTCCGCTGAAACCATGGCCTGACTTTGACCTGCCATAGGTCAGCGACCTTACCAGGCACATCTAAATTTTGTAATATCAAACGATCCGCTTTTCAATTGTCTACTGCTATGCAAAATTGTGCGCGGCCACGCCGCGCCGTTCGGAAACCATCCTGGAAAAACCTTCTGTGGGTCAATTTGACCCCCCCAACCGACCGTGTTAAAAAAATAAAAACGGGTCACATGTTCGGTCCAGGCTGATCATGTCTATGCTCACAGCCAATTCTATTGCACGAGGGTCGCAGAGCCTGGGAGGACAGACTGGCTGTGCCGCAGGTGAGCACGCAGCGCAGCTGGCAGATGCGCAGTGGGCGCCGCGTCCTCCGATGAGTGGCCGGCGCGCCGCGACCGGTGTCACGCCCGCTCCTCAGAGCTGACCTGGCACGCGGCCAGGAGGCGCGCCGGGTCACCAAACACCGTGTCTAGGTAGACACAGGCTCTCTCCGGCACCTGTCGGCCACGGACGCGACTCACACACCGACACAAGCGACGGGCACCCCGGACGACAGGTCTGCAGTCGGCCCCAGTCCCGGTCCTCAGTCGGCTGGCCAGATGGTTACAAAGCCGACACACAGCCCGGACCAACGCAAAGCACACGGCTGAGCTGCACGCACACGCGCGCGCACGCACGCACGCATTCGTTTCACATGTTGGTCGGCTCCTCAGCAGCTAGTCGCAGCTGACAGATGTCCACCTGCCCGACGTGGATACGGACGTCTCACCGTCGCTCCGGCCGAGGCCCGCTTCCGGTCGAGTCGAACGCCGCCGTCCAACGTCACGCTGCCCCACGGCGTCACGTCCGCGGTCACATCAGTGGTGTTATCGTAGCCCAGCCAGCCGGCGATGACAGCGGATGGGAGGGTGCGCGCGGCGCCACCGTACGCCGCCGCCAGCGTCGATAGCGCGCGTCTGGGGACCGGGTTCGTCAATGCGGAAGCTCCCCGACCGGAGGGCACCGGTCAGGTCACAAAGGGAAGGCGTGCCCAGTGGCCACAGGTCATAGCACGACCGAGCGCTGGATGACACTGAATGGGCCACGCATTATAGCAAAGGAAGCGCCTACCAAGGGTCCCAGCAAGAGGCGCCACCCGGCAGCCACAGGTCACAATATGACAGGTCACGACACAACCGAACGCTGCATGACGCTGGAAGGGCCACGGATCACAGCAGGGGGGGGGGGGGAGGGCTATCAAGGGTCACAAATCACAGAACAGAGACGCGCCCGGTCGACGGTTCTTCTCCAGTTTCCGAATAACCGCCAGCGGAAGGGACCGCACGGCCACCAGGACTGTTAGGCGGAGCACAGGGGCTTCCGCGTCCAAGTCAGCGTCCACCAGGACTGTTAGGCGGAGCACAAGGGCTTCCGCGTCCAAGTCAGCGTCCACCAGGACTGTTAGGCGGAGCACAGGGGCTTCCGCGTCCAGGTCAGCGGCCACCAGGACTGTTAGACGGAGCACAGGGGCTTCCGCGTCCAGGTCAGCGGCCACCAGGACTGTTAGGCGGAGCACAAAGGCTTCCGCGTCCAGGTCAGCGGCCACCAGGGCTGTTAGGCAGAGCACAGGTGCTTCCGCGTCCAGGTCAGCGGCCACCGGGACTGTTGGGAGCACAGGGGCTTCCGCGTCCAGGTCAGCGGCCACCAGGGCTGTTAGGCGGAGCACAGGTGCTTCCGCGTCCAAGTCAGCGGCCACCGGGACTGTTGGGAGCACGGGGGCTTCCGCGTTCAAGTCAGCGGCCCGCTCAGGACCTCACGGAGGGACGTGACGATGAGACGACAATCGGCAGTCCGGTGCAGAGAACGGACCAAAATGG